ATCCTTGAGTTACAACTCAAGGATCATGTGAAGGTCTTCAGGAGGAATGGGGCTGCCAGAAACAGTTTAAGAGTGCAGGTGGGAGCTATTGGAGGGTAAATTGGGAATACCATTAGGGGGTTGGGAGATGGTTTGGGGTGCAGTTGGAGAGACTATGGGAAGATAGGGAGTGATTAGAGAGAGAGTTTGGTCTTCTGTAAGGTTGTAAAGTAGTAGAGCTGTTAACTGTCATAGGATGGTGTGGTCAGCTGACTAATGATCCCCCCCCCCCAAAAAAAAAGGTCGGGGTCCTAATCCCCGGAACCGGTGAGTGTTACCTTTTATGGCAAAATATGGTTTGCATATGTGGTTTAATTAATGATTTTGAGACAGGGAGGGGTGCCTGGGTGGCTCAGTCGGTTGAGTGGTTGAGTGTTAGACTTCGGTTTGGGTCATGATCTTGCGGTTCACGAGTTTGGGCCCCACATGGGGCTCTGTGCTGACAGCTCAGAGTCTGAAGCCTGCTTCAGATTCTGTGTGTCTCTCTCTCTGGAACCACCCTCCACCCTGCTTGGACTCTGTCTCTGTCTCTGTCTCTCTCTCTCTCTCTCTCTCTCTCTCTTTCAAAAAGAAATAAACATTTAAAAAAAAAAAAGGATTTTGAGATGGGGAGATTATCCTGGATTATCTGAATGGAACCTGACTGTAATCACAAGTGTCCTTATAAGAGGAAGGCAGAGGCAGATTTGACAGAAAAAGAGAAGGCGATGCAACGTGATGTAGCCACAAGCAAAGGAATGCAAGAAACCACCAGAAGCTGGAAGAGGTAACAAAAAGATTCTCCTCTAGAGTCTGCAGAGAGAGTCCAGCTCTTCAGACACTTTGATTTTGGCTTTGTGAAATTTATTTTCTGCGTGAAACTTTGGCCCCCAGAACTGTGAAATAATAGATTTCTTATATATTTTTAAATTTTTTTTTTAATATTTATTTTTGAGAGAGGGACAAACAGACAAAGTGTGAGCAGGGGAGGAACAGAGAGAGAGGGGGGCACAGAATCCAAAGCAGGCTCCAGGCTCCGAGCTGTCAGCACAGAGCCTGATGCAGGGCTTGAACCCACGAACTGTGAGATCATGACCTGAGCCAAAGTCGGACGCTTAACCGACTGAGCCACCCAGGTGCCCCTAGATCTCTTATATTTTAAGCCATGGGATTTGTTGTAATTAGTTAAAGCGGCCACAGGAAACTAACACAGATTTTGGTACTTGGATGTAGAATGCTGCTTTGTCTTAGTCTCCTTGAGCCACCATAACACAATACCACAGACTGGTTGCATTAAACAACAGAAATTTATTTTCCTGAAGATCAGGAGGCTAGAAGTCCAAGAGCAAGATGCTGTATGGATTGGTGTCCGATGAGGACTGTCTGCCTCACTTGCAGATAGGTGCCTCTTGTGTCCTCACATGACCTCTCCTTTATGCATGTGCTCCTGATGTCTCTTCCTCTTCTTATAAGGACACCAACCCTATTGGATCAGGGCCCCCTTTATGACCTCATTTAACTTTACCTCTGTAAAGGCCCTATTTCCAAATATAGTCATGTTAGGGGTTATGGCTTCAACATATGAATGGGGGACCAATTCAGTCCATAACACATTGTAACAAATACCTAAAAATATTGAAGTGGCTTTGGAATTGGATCATGTGTAGAGGCTGGAATTGGATCAAGTTTGAGGTACATGATAGAAAAATCCTGGATTGCCTTGAAGAAATTGTTGGTAGAAACACGAACATGGAAAGCACTGCTGGTGAAGGTTCAGAAGGAAGTGAGGAGAATAGTTGAGAAAGCTTATATTGTCTTTTTTTAAAGTTTATTTATTTATTTTGAGAGAGAGAGAGAGAGAGAGAGAAAACAAGCAGGGGAGGGGCAGAAAGAGAAGGGAGAGAGAGAGAATCCCAAGCAGGCTCCGGACTGTCAGCGTGGAGACTGACACAGGTCTTGAACCCATGAACCATGAGATCATGACCTGAGCTGAAACCAAGAGTCAGACGCTTTACCAACTGAGATACCCAGATGCCCCAAAGCTTACATTGTCTTAAGAATACATATATATTGGGGCACCTGGGTGGATCAGTCGGTTAAGCGTCTGACTCTTGATCTCAGTTCAGGTCTTGATATCAGGGTCGTGAGTTCAAGCCCTATGTTGGGCTCCATGCTGGGAATGAAGCCTACTTAAAATTATGTATATATATATATATATATAATCATAAACAGAATATTGGTAGAAATATGAATGTTAAAGATGCTGCTGGTGAGGGCTCAGAGGGAAATCAACATGTTATTGGAAATTGGGGAAAAGGAGATCCTTATTATATAGAAACAGAAAGTGGAGTTGAATTGTGTCCTACTGTTGTGTGAAAACCAGAGCTTGTAAGTGATGGACTTGGATATTTAGCTGAGGAGATTTCCAAGGGAAGTGTTGGAGGTACTGCCTGGATTCTTCTTGCTGATTTTAGTAACATGTGAAAGGAAAGAGATAAATTGAGAGAAGAACTGCTAAGCAAAATGGATCCAGGTTTTGATGATTTAGAAAATTCTCAGGCTGTCCAGATTGCAGAAGACACAAAATTTAGGAGATTTGCTGTCAGGAAAGTATGCTCTGGAGAGAACCAAAGGTGTGGCTGGACAACCTTTTGCTAGTACTAAAGAGATAAGGTGTGTGCCTCATGGATCCTGCCAACCATTTCAGCAGAAGTCAGGAATAGAGATGGGATTTTCCATGGAAGATCTTTTGAGGACCCTCTTGTCTAATGGTGTGAATTCCTGTGACTTCCATGGAAGACCCACAAAATTTTTGAGAATGAAGGTTATATTGCCAGAAACACTGCCTGGTCAGCTTGAAAGAAACAGAAATACGTGAAATGAAGGAAGGATGTTGGGCTCCCAAAATTCTACCAGAAAGATACAGGGTGAAACTACTCAGCAGCAAACATGTACTACTCTTCAAAAGAAGGGAAGAATGACTTTGAGGGCAGAGCTGTGGGCCCAGAGGTGGAACTTCAAGCCATAGCGGATTATTCCCAGGCCTTGAAACCTAATGGAACTTGCCCTGCTGCATTTCAAAATTACTCAGGACCAGTGACACCTTTTTTTCCTTCCATTTCCCCCCTTTTGGAATAGGAATGGCTTTAACTCTTATTTCATGTCTGTCCCACCATTGTGTTTTGGGAATAGATAACTTGTTTTCTAGTTTCACAGGCCCAGAGATGGAGAGGAATGTTGCCTTAGGTTGGATCGTACCCAGAGTCTCACTTATACCTGATTTAGATGATGAGGTTTGGAACCTTTGAGCTGATAAAATTAAAGTGAGATTTTGAAGTTGAGTTGATGCTGTAATGGTTCAAACCTTTGGGGGTATTGGGATGAGGTACATGTGTTTTGCATGTGGGGTAGATGTATAACTTTGGGAATCAAAGGGTGAATGATGCTGCCCAAAAGATATGCACATCCTAATTCCTGGAACATGTGAGTATACCTTAGATGGCAAAAAAGAAAAAGAAAAAGGACTTTGCGGTTTTCAGATATGATTAAGGTAAGGATTTTTTTTTTCAACGTTTATTTATTTTTGGGACAGAGAGAGACAGAGCATGAACGGGGGAGGGGCAGAGAGAGAGGGAGACACAGAATCGGAAGCAGGCTCCAGGCTCTGAGCCATCAGCCCAGAGCCTGACGCGGGGCTCGAACTCCCGGACCGCGAGATCGTGACCTGGCTGAAGTCGGACGCTTAACCGACTGCGCCACCCAGGCGCCCCAAGGTAAGGATTTTGAGATGGGGAAATTATCCTGCATTATTAAGGGGACCCTAGCTATAATAACAAGTGTCCTTACCTAAATTTTTCTTAAAGTTTATTTATTTTGAGAGAGAAAGTGAGAGAGCAAGCAGGGGAGGGGCAGAGAAAGAGGGAGAGAGAGAATCCCAAGCAGGCTCCACGCTGTCAGCACAGAGCCTGATGCGCGGCTTGAACCCATGAACCATGAGATCATGACCTGAGCTGAAGCCAAGAGTTGGATGCTTAACCGACTGAGCCACCCAGGCGCCCAATAAACGTCCTTAGAAGAGGGAAGCAGAAGCAGATTTCATAGACAGAATGGAAAGCAATGCGACCAAGGAAGCAAAGATTCAAGTGATGTGGTTATAGGCCAAGGAATGCTGACAACTGCTAATGTAGGAAGGTGACAGATTCTCCCCTAGAAAGAGGAGCATAGCCCTACTGGCACCTTGATTTTGGTCTTCTGGCCCCCAGAACTGTGAGAGGATAAATTTCTTAGGTTGTAAGTCACCAGGTTTGTGGAAATTTATCACAGCAGCCACAGGAAGCTAATGCAGAGGACTTGGAGTATATTTGGTGGTTCTTGGAGAGATTATGCTTGGTGGCTTTCAAAGACATTTTGAGGGTATAATTAGGATCCATTGGAAAGACAAGGCTGGGTATAGTGGTAATTCAAGAGTGAGTGGTTTGGAGGTATAGTTTTGGGCTGCAGAGTATGCTTCAGGGGGTACATGGAGAGTGCTTTGGAGTCAATATGGGGTGTTTGGGGTGCATATTGGGGGTAGATGAGAGGGTGATTTGGAAGTGCTCTTTGGAGGTTAATGGTTTTAGGGCTGATTGCAGATGGTTTAGGGGAACAAGTTGGGGGTAGTGAATGGCAGTTTATTCATAAAGTTTGGGAGTCCACGGAGGGTGATTGGGGGTACTGCTTGGGATCAATGAGCAATAGTTTGGGGATACATTTTGAGGGATGATGGAGGGTGGTTTGGGGACACAGAAGTTTAGAAGAGTTTAGAAGTGTGTGGTGGCTGATAGAAGGCAATTTGGGGTCCTGCTTGGGGGTCCATTCGGGGGTGACTTGGGGTGAGGGGTTCCAGTCTGATCACCGAGGGGGCGTGGCCTCAGTACAGGAGCGCTTCACCGCCCTCGAGAAAGCGTGTGCGCACGCGCTCCCAGCTGGTTCACTCCTGGCGCTCCCAGGGCAGGAAAATCGAAGACCCAAACCGGCGCCTGCGCACTTGGTCTCCGCCGCTGCTGTGGTCTTGCGCCCCGCCCCCGTCCCCCCACCTCCCCCCAGGCTCGCGCTCAGCGGCGGCGGTGTTGGTGCCGCCGGGAGCGGACGGACCCGAGGTGAAGGTGGGGGGCTGGGGTCCACCGCCCGCGGCCGAGTCCCCGCGCCTCTCCTACCCTCCCCGCGCCCCCCGTGTGGCCCCCACTGCTAACAGTCGCGCGGCCAAACGCGGCCCACGGGCAGGGCGCGGAAGGGGAGTAGACGCGAGGCCGGGGACGAGCGGGGGGGGGGGGGAGGGAGGGGCGCACCCACCACCCCTCCTGGCCTACAGCGACCCCGCCTACATCGCGGGACGGGGACCCTCGGTGAGTAACGCCCGCTTGGAGAGGAAGGGAGGAGACAGGGCGGGGTGAGGGCCCGGAAACGCCGGCAGGGGCTGTACCTGCGTGCGCACCCGCGATCTCTGACCCTGTGGTCTCACTCCCGACCCCTACCTGACCTGACTACATCTTTTCTTAACCTCAAGCTCTGGCCAGTCTTGGCCCCAGTACCTCCGCTCTGACCCCTGACCTAACCATGTTTAGGCCTGGCGTGATCCTCAATCCCTATTTTGTTCCCCTAAACCTAGTCCTGACCCCAAACCCCACCCAGTTCTTTTCTCAGGATCCTTGGCTTGACCCTGTTCCATCCCTGAAGCTCATCTTGCTTTGTCCTGATCATCCTGATTTCTGTCCTGATGCTTGACACGTCAGTTCCCTAAACTCTTGTCCCTGAACCCCTTCCATTCATGTCCTGCCCCCCTCACCGCAGTCTAATTCAGGTCTGTCCAGATTCCTGACCTCTGATTTCTAAACTTTCTCCCCATCTGTACTATCCTGGTCCCCTCCTGACTCCCCATCTCCATCCTGGCCCACCCCCTTTAGGCCATACCCCTGTTAACTGCCCTGTCCCTGCCCCCAGCCCTATGCTGTTGTCTCCTGTTTTCTCTTGTCCCATCACTGTCCTCATGCCTATACTTCTTCTGTTCCAGTCTTTTCCTGCTCCTTACCTCCATCCTGAACCTGCCCTTTTTCCCTCTCCCCTACCTTGACTGGTGTCTTGGCCTGTCCTTCATCATGTCTTCTGATTATTCTATCCTGACCCTGCCTTGCTCTTCTCTTTTGTTCCTTGCTGCCCCCTACTTTTTCTCTTACCCTTCTTCTGAACCTCACTCCATCCCATCCCCTGGCCAGTGTCTTGGCTCTTTCTCTGTCCTTCCTCCCAACCTCCATCCTCCAATGACTCTGATTCTGTCTTGTCTCCTACACCCCTTCCTGCCCTCTCCCTTTCTGTCCCAACCCCAGACCCCTGTTCTACCCCTTACCTTGCCCCTCCACCCTGTTCAGAGCTCTCTTTTCCTAACACCCACTTTCCATCTCCTCTGAGCCTAAAAGAACTGGGGTCCCATTATACCCTGCCCCTGAACTTGGAGATTCTGCTGTTCCCATGATCTCAAGTTCATCCCAAATGCTTCTCTCAGCATGAGCAAGAGCAAGCAGCCTTGTGGGCCCTGTGTGGCTAAGAGGGTTTTCATATGTGATGTCCCTCACCCCCACCCAGTGATCTCACACAGAGCTTGCATTTGTCTCCCTGCCCCGGGAGAGCATGGAACTGTTCCTATGCCCCCCACCCTCCCGGAGTGTGAAAGAACACCCTAAATTATTCAGTGACTCTGGGAGTCTGTGTGGTCTGGATCATGTTTCCAGCCTTGCTAGGTTGGGGGCTGTCCCATGTCCAGGTGGGGCGGGTGGCAAGCAAACATAGGCGGGTGGGGGACTCAGGAGTGTGTGTGAATCTTCTGTGTCATGTTACCCCATCTCCTAGTCTCAATCCTGGGTGTGCATGATCTGGAAAAAGTCCATTCCAGGCCAGAGGCTTCAGGGCTTCGTGGGGAGGGTGTTGGGAGTGGGGGTGGGGGGTTTATCCCCCTTCTCTTGGCTGTACGCAATACAAATTTTGGTGCTAAATCCATCCCACCTCTGTGGGGCGTGTGTGTGTAGGGGGTGGTCACTGGGTGTTAGAATCAGGCCTATCCAATAGTGACAATAACAACCACAAGAACAATACGAGGTTCTCTCTCTGAATCTCCTTGATTCTGAGGACAGGCAGGGAGAATGTGGAGAGTGAGAAGATAACGTGTTAATTCAGTTATGTTTTGTTCCCTCCATTTGTCATAGAGTAGTGAGATTTTGAATAATGAGATACTAGACCCATCTCATTCATCTAAAACATTTATCCAAACCTATTAATAACAACACAAGCATCCTTCATTGTCCCAGTGCCTGTTTGGCACCTGACTTCTGAGAGGGAGAGCTTGGGTAGTTCAGACAGTAAAAGATACCAGGTTATCCGGAGGTTTTTTGGTTTTGCACTTTACACAGTGAGCGGGGAGGTGAGGGACAATGGCCCCAACTAAAAAATATATTCAAATAGATTCATTTCCCTGAGCTCCAGTGGCAAGAGTTGGGATAGTAAAAATACCGTGTTGTGTGAATATATTTGGTTCCTGCGTCTTGCCTCGTAAGGAAAGCTCAGAGAGTAGTGGGTGCCAGCTCTATCTCAAAAGTGCATCCAGATCCATTCAGCTCCTGTATATGGATAGTGAGTGTTCAGAGACTTGATCTGAAGATGTTTGGTTCCTGCATTTTTGATGTTGAGTAGGGAGAAGTCAGATAATGAGGGAAAACAACTCTGTTTCAAATATGCCTGGATTGATAGGGAGGGTTCCATGTCTGGGTAGCAGGTAGGGAGGGTTTGGAGGCTGAGGGATACGAGCTCTGTCTCACCAGTGCATCTGAATACATTTAGTTCTTGATTTTGGATAGTGAGAATTTGGACACATTTATTTGACGAACAACAGCTCTGCTTCAAATTTATCAGGCACAGCACAGGGATACCAGCTTGGTCTCAAAAAAATATGCACAGACACACAGACACACACACACACACATTTGATTGCTGAGTTTGGATTGAGAGGAATAGTTGTAATTATGACAGTTAGGGCACCTGAGTGACTTAGTCAATTAGGCATCAGACGTTAGCTCAGGTCATGATCTCATGGTTCGTGGGTTCGAGTCCCGTGTTGGGCTCTGTGCTGATAGCTCTGAGCCTGGAGCCTGCTTCGGATTCTGTGTCTCTCTCTGCCCCTTTCCTGTGCTCTCTCTCTCTCTCTCTCTCAAGAATAAATAAACATTGAAAAAAATTTAATTGTGGCAGCCAACACACATCAAACACTTACCAAGGGCCAGTTACTGTCCTAAGCAAGTTTTAAGTCTATTAATTCAAGTCATGCTCACAACAATCCTGTGAAGTCCATACTGTTGTTATGATCCCCATTTTACACATGAGGACATTGAGGCACAGAGAGGATAAGTGACTTATCCAAGCAGTCACACAGACATAAGTGGCAGAGCAGGGTTGAATCCCAGAGTTACCACTTGCTACCCCTACATGAGGCCACATGAGGTTCAGGTCCTGGCTGGGGTAGGGCCTAGAGGTTGGCCATCTTCCAGGCTGTTAGAAGTCGTGGACCAGGGCAACGATGTGTGCGGGTGATTCTGCCCCGCCTGTCTGCCTGGCCCAAGAGGCCCAGTTACCTGCTTTCCCCTCCTTACTCCTGCACCAGGCCACCTCTGCATGAGTTTATTCTTGTTGTTATCAACTGTCATTAATGACGTGATGTGAGTTTCCTTGTACTTTGAAATGCCTTCCAAAGTGACTCTGGCTTTGTTGGCTATGTAACCATTGTTTACCCATTTTACAGATGAGGAAACCTAGGCCTTGCTATTCATTCTACATTGCCAGCTAGATACCCTTGTCCCTCTCAGCTCTGGTTTTAGAACTGTCCTTCTTCCCAACATTCTTGGTGTCCGCCAAGAGGCAGGAGAGGCCACAGCTGAGGGGACACTCCCCGTCAACACCCAGCCACCTACCTTATGGCTGCTGCCTCCACCAGCCCTAAACAGTGAAGCAGGGAGAAAGGGGGGTGGATGAAAGGGGCCTTTGTGTCCCTTGCCGGAAATCTCACCCCCAGGAAGAAAGGTGGGCAGGGTGATGGGAGGCCTCAATAGCATGTGTGTGGGGCAGGGCGTTGTTGCTGATACAGAGCTCCCCTCCAGGCTTGGCCCACCTGCCAAGTGGGGAGGGAGGTTTCCTCACTCTGCTCTTTCACATCACAGCATGGGCTGCTGCAGGGGCCCGGGTTGGGCTTGGGCCCTGAGGTCACAGAGCAGATGGTCCCAAATGGAGCACAGGATGTGTGGTATGTGCCGGGGCAGGCCAGAGCCCTCAATTTCCTTGAATCCTGGCCAGAAATGCCCACGGGGGAGGAGTGGGGGAGAGCCAGCCTGGATGTGAAGAAGCATGAGCCCCCTCCCCACTCCTCCTCCGTTGCAGGAATAGCCTCTGTCTGCCTCCAGCCCAGGACCCGGCCCCCTGAGTTCTGAGTCCACCCGCTCTTAACGCCTCTGTGATCAGAATCAGACCTCTTCACCTGTCCAAGCCCCAGCTTCCTCATCGGCAAGCTGGCTATGAAGAGGTGGGTCTGCGTCATTCTCCCAGGTTCGTAGCGACCAGGATGGGTGAAAACGTGTGTTTTGTCAGTTTGCTGGGATGATTTCTTCCGGAGGTGCAGAAGGTGGTCGGGTCTTGAGACCCGGTTTTTCCTGGGAAAAGTTGACCTCCTCTGTCCCCAGCTTGGGAAACTGTTACCCCAGTGAGGGTGGCGGATGTCCCAAGACCTTATCCCACCCCAGCCTTGCCCTGGGAGGAAAGGGTAGGGGCCTCAGGAATGTGGTGCTCGCTGCCAAGAGACACACGCCAGATTTACATACACCTGAGGCCTCCTGTGTGCTTAACAACGCCCCAGAACTCCGTCCCCCAGCTCCAAGGTCATAAATACCCTTGGGTGGGCAGGGTCTGACGTGGGAACCTGGGTAGCACCAGGGGCAGCCCCACTCCCACTACCCTTAGCCCTTCTTTCCTGGTTCTCTGCTAGGTGACTGGGGAGAGCAGGGCTCTCTGGGCTCTCTTCTTGGCCACGCTGAACGCCTTGAAGGGCCCTAGCCCTGACACTGCCCCTAAGGGTGTCCTGAGCCCTGGTGACAGGCAGGCAAGGGTTAAGAGGTATGGGCTGGCCCAGTCCCTGGCCAGGTAGGCTGGGCTATTGCCTAGTGGGAGGCGGCCTAGGCATCTGCCACTGGCTCACTGCTCACTGCCACTACCAGCTGGAACAGGGCCTGGTTGAGACAACTATTTTATCGAGGTACTTGAGGCCACCCCACAGCACCTCTCTGGCGTTGGTGAGCACCTGGGAACAGGGGGCCCAGGGGCAGGGTAGGGGAAGAAGGGTCTAGGGTGTACTGAGGCCCCCTGTGGGAGAAAGCCAAGTCTGTGCAAGAGGTACAGCGAAGAAGGAGGGCCCGAGTGGAAGAGCAAAGCCCAAAATGCCCAATTTCCTTTGCTGGCACGAAGCCGATTCCTTGCCGGAAATGAACAAGGGGAAGGGTTGGGGGAGAAGAAAAGCCAGAGTCCCCCCTTCTCCACTGTCCTCCCTACTTCCTCTCCCCCTTTCCCCTGCCCTGGGAAGGAGCATCTGCCCTCCTGCAACCTGGGGCCTGGCCTCCCCAGCAAAGCTCAGACTGGGCTGTTGAGAAACTACTTCCTGGCACCTGCCTGCCCCCAGCCTGTTCACCCAGAGTGGGGGCAGGGGGGCCTCCAGGGCAGTGTGGGGAACAGTTCCAGACACTGGGAGTTTGTGCTCTGATTGGGACAAGATATGGAAATGGGGGTCCCACTGAGGGTGTTGGGGTGCCACCCAGGTGAGGTGTCTTGGTTGTAAACAGTCATTAAGGCCAGGAATTTCTTTCTCGGCTGTGGTGTCAGAAGGGCAGACCTGAAAAACCTGCTGGGCCCGCCTCTGGGTGTGTATGGGGGGTACCTTCTGCAGCTCTCCTGCTGTAGCCCTTCCTGGGACGGGACTTAGGAACTGGTGTGGGGTGTGGTGTGGGGGACATTAGGGAAGGGGACTGCTGGAATCCCCCTTTTCACCATCTCCAGGTGGGGCTAGGGGAGTTCCGGACCCCTAGGCAAATGTGCAGAGGGGAGGCAAGTGGAGGCAGAGGTTTGGGAGCCGGGTGTGGGGGTGTGGGGCGTTGACCCTGTGTCTCCCTACCCAGTGACCCCGTGACTCAGGCCTGAGCTATGTCCCCAAGGTCAGGCTTACAGGGTGGAGTCGGGGTTCCTGTCTGGACCCCATTGATCTAGGATGCAGTGAGCTCTCAGGGAAAGCAGGCTTAAGGAAGCCCAGTGTGGGATGTGGGGGAAGGATTAGGGGAGCCCTGGGAGAGTTCCTCAAACTCAAATGGGGGTTGGGGAAGAAGGAGCCCCAGGAGCTTAGGGACAGAGGAAGCTGAGCTGGGACCTCCAGGAAACCACACTGTGCTGGGCAGTGTCGGACCTTGGAGGCCGGGCATTTGAGTACCTCTCTGCAAAGTACGCGTTGCTGCCTGGGTGTGCAAAAAGCTTGAGAGACTGATCCCTGTCCCTGAGGCTGAGGACAGAGGACCACTGTTTTGTGGAGGGCATACAGATTCTATGGGGCCGGTAGGAGGACTGCCAAGAAACTAGTGGCACCATATTAGCCAGTCGACCACATCCCCCAGCGTACAGATGGGGAAGGAGCTTGAACCCACACCTCCTTGGTTGCCTGGGTCTTCTCCACAGCTGGCCACCATGTCATGAAAAGCTGGGGATTAGGTGGGTATGGGATGTCTGTGGCCTCATGAGGCCCTCCCAGTTGCCTGCCGCTGAGGTCAGGCCAGGTGGTGGGAGGTGATGTCACCTGGCTACCCAGCTGGGGACCAAGCAGGATGTGGGAGGGAAGGAGCAAACTCCAGAGGAGGGGATGAGGGCAGGGCTGGCAGCCAGCCAAGGCAGGTTCTGTGGTCAGCCAGGGTGTCTGGGAGCAGAGAAGGAAGCAGGAGGCAGGAGGCTTGTTATCTGCAGCTATGGACTCTTCTGATCACAGTTCCTGCAGGGCATCTTCTCTGTGCTGGGTACAGGACAGGTTGGGGTGGGGAGAGGGGTTGGGGGGTCCTGGGGCTAAGGAAACACTCCCCTGCTGCATCAAGGCCACAAGATGGAGTTGGGACAAATAGAGACCCACAGATCTGGGCTAGATCCCTAGCTTGGCTACTTTGGCATTCTTTCATTTATGCAACAGACATTCATTGAGTACTTGCTACATGCTCAGAAGTGTTCTGAGTGCCAGAGATACCAAAAAAAACCAGGACAGATCTGTCTCTTGTCTTCACAGATATGTAAAGGAGGCTCAGTCTCTTGCTGGACAGCAGTTATGAGGGGACATAATGTAGGGATCCACCTCTGGAAGTGACATTTAAGCCCTAGAATGTGAGAGCCAGGGGCCAGAGAGGCAAGACTTGAAAAGAGCACTCCAGACAGCCACAGCCTGAGCAAAGGCCCTGAGGCTCACTGGACTGGGAGCTTATGACGAATTAGTGGAGTTAGAACAGCTCCAGTGAGGGAGAGTCGGGCCAGAGGGGTGGGCCTAGGCTGCTACATCCTTAACCGTGGATGTTATTTCACCCCTCTGTGACTTACTGTCTTCATCTGTAAAATGGGAGCAATAATCACAGAACTGCCATCACAGGGTGGTTGTAAAGATTAAATGTGGCATGGAAGGTAACTGTTCCAGGCACCCAGGTGCTCAATAAATGCCCACTGTTGTTATAGTTGGCTGAATCTGTACCTTTAACTCTCCCTTCCCAGGCAAGACTCCTGACTGTGGCCCATGGACCTCTGAGGAGGCGTCGTAAGTCCGCCCAGCTCCCCGCTTGCTGTGCTCCCACTCAATGGGAAGGGAACCAAGGTACCAGGGCCAAGTGGGTCCGGACACTGACACAGATTTCTGAGAGGGCAGGTCGATCAGGCGGGTGGGGTCAGGGTCCCCCTTCTTCCCAGCTGGGGTGTGCGAAGTTGGGTAGGGGCAGGGGCTGGGGGAACACAGAATACACTTCCTTAATGGCCCCTGTGCGTTACTGCCAGGCCTTGTCCAGCCATCAGCCACGGCCTCTCGACAGCACCAGGATGGAAGTCAAAGGTCAGCTGATCAGCTCTCCCACCTTCAATGCCTCAGGTAGCTGGCTTGTTCCCCTTTTCTGCCTCTTCCCCTGCTCTGAGTCACCACCTGCCTACTTGGAAAGGGTTGGTCCCTGGCCCCACAGCTGTGCCAGGGTGCCCTGGCTGATCTTTGCTCTGAACTTTGCTCCTTCTGTGTCCAGCTGCCCTGTTTGGAGAAGCTGTCCCCCAGATGAAGTCAGAGCGTCTGCGGGGGCTGCTCGACCGGCAGCGGGCCCTACAGGAGGCCCTGAGCCTGAAACTTCAGGAGCTCCGCAAAGTGTGTCTCCAGGAGGCGGTGAGAGCCTGGCCCTAAGAGTGCCTGGTGGGTGGGGCGGCGGTGAGGAGACGGGGCCGCTAGGTAGGTGCTGAGCCACCTGTCTGAGCTGTAGATTCCCTGTCACCTTGTAGCTTCTCAAAGCTCAACTTAGACATCTTCAAATCGGTAAAATATGGCAGTGCAGGCCTGCAGTTCCCTATCAGCAATTTGAAATCCAAAATGCCTCAAAAATAATGGCTATTTCCAAAATCTGGCAGTAAAACCCGACCTGAACTGACAAGGGGTGAGTTTTAGTTTTGATTTATTCCTCTTGGTGTGAACGTCTACACGGTTTGCCAGAAATGATCGTGTGGTTCAGAGCATGCAGCCCCAGGCCCTGAGGGGGGTGTTACGTATCATGCAGTATGTAGACTGTGTCACGTTTACAAAAAATAAGAAATTCTGGATTCCAAAGCAGGTCCCCCTACCTCCCATGCCCACTGCCCCAGGGATTTGGGCCACCAAGGGGCTGAGAGCACACAGCATACCTGTCTGGTGGAGAATTGGGAAGGGGGAGAGAAGTAATAGGCATGGCGTGCTCAGCATCACTGCGCTGTTAGTAGGACACCTGTAGCTTCAGGAGTCGTTATTGCTTTGCCCCATTCCCCCAGCTAACCCTTGGTAGTCTCTGACCCCTGCCCCCACCAGGAGCTGACTGGCCAGCTGCCCCCCGAGTGCCCGCTGGAGCCTGGTGAACGGCCCCAGTTGGTCCGCCGGCGGCCCCCTGCGGCCCGAGCCTACCCTCCGCTGCACCCCAACCCAGCACACCACTCCTTGTGCCCCGCTGAGGTGAACAGATGGGCTTGGAGAGCAAGATGGGGGTGGGACGGGTGCAGAGGAAGAGGAGCCTAGAGGAAGCCAGGCAGGGCTGGGTTGCATCCAGGGGAGGGAGAGGCTGAGGTGAGGAGGGAATGACTTGAGGGAGGTGGGTTCTGGCTCTGAGGGAGGATGCTGGTCCCTGTCCGTGATAAGCCTCTCACCCTCAGGAAAATGAATATGTCTAGTCTCTTAATCGAGACAGGCCCTGCCTGCAGAAGAAATGAGCTCCACCCTAGAATAGCACCGCCCCCCTCCCCCACCTCAAGTGGAGACAGGCTGTGCCCGCAGTGGTCCCTGTGCTCGGCCATTTCCAACATTTGGTCCTGTCCCACCCTCTTGGGTGGGTCCCACAGGAGCTGGCTCTTGAGGCGCTGGAGCGTGAGGTGTCTGTGCAGCAGCAGATTGCGGCCGCCGCCCGCCGCCTGGCCTTGGCCCCTGAGCTGAGCATCGAGCAGCGCCGGCGCCGGCGCCAGGTCCAGGCAGACGCGCTGCGGAGGCTGCACGAGCTGGAGGAACAGCTTGGGGACCTCCGGGCCCGCCTTGGCCTCCCGGTGCTCCCACCGCCGCAGCCCCTACCCCTGTCCACAGGGGCAGTTATCACGGCCCAAGGAGTCTGCCTGGGCACGCGCCTCGCTCAGCTCAGCCAAGGTGAGCCGGGCCCCATTGCCCCCGGCCCCCATGGTGAAAGCAGAGCGTGGCATCGGCTGAGGGACACGGTAGGGGTGGGGTGGGTAAATAGTGAAAAGTGGGAGCGAGGTGGATCTTAAGGGACCTGACTTGTAAGAGGAGTTGTGATGAACTGGCTCCACAGCATGGGTGGGGCCACTGGGAACTAGACCACATGGCACCAGGAGAACGAGGAGCCGAGCCTCAGGTGGTCTTGGACTCAGGTGAAGGTGGGTTATTGGGAAGGAACAGGGCAGGGAGGAGACCATCCAGTGGTGTAAGGGGATGGCACCCAGGCCTTGTATTGATAGGCCTGGGTCTCCCCCTTCTCACCTATAGAGGACGTAGTTCTGCACTCCGAGAGCAGCTCCCTGTCAGAGTCTGGAGCCAGCCATGATAATGGTGAGGACCTCTGTCCCCCCACAGACCCATCCATCCTTTGATGCTCAGCGCCCCCCCCCCTTCATCCCCATCTCAGCCATGCCCCATCCTCTCATGGGGCCCCTGTCTTTCTTGCGTCACCTTGCCCAGCTCATCAGCCCCAGTTCCAGCCCCATGTATTAGCCCCTGCCCAGCCCGCTGCCACTGCCTGTCTCCCTGGCTCCTGCCCTTTGCTTTGCCTGCAATCCATCTGGCCCCCTCTCATTGACTTCTCCCCCACTTTCTGCCTTCCTCTCAGAGGAGCCCCGCAGCTGCTTCCCTCTGGCCGAGCGCCCCTCGCCGCCCAAAGCCTGGGACCAACTGCGGACAGTGTCGGGGGGCAGCCCTGAGCGGCGAACCCCATGGAAACCACCGCCGTCAGATCTTTATGGGGATTTGAAGAGCCGGCGGAACTCTGTGGCCAGCCCCACCAGGTGAGGGTGAGCCCCATCCTTCCCCCAGGAACCAGGAGCAGGATCCTGAGCCTGGGGCTGGCAGGAGGGCCTGCTGGTGGGTATGGTCTCTAACCTGGCCCCTGACCTGGACCTGCCCATCTCTGTCTAGCCCCACACGCTCGCTGCCCAGGAGTGCCTCCAGTTTTGAGGGGCGAAGTGTGCCTGCCACCCCTGTCCTCACCCGGGGCGCTGGCCCCCAGCTCTGCAAGTAAGGGGACTATGAGGGTGGGTTCGAGGACTAGAGGAAGGAACTGTTAGTTCTAACTATGAGAGCATTATCAAAGAGGCTGGGCTTTGAGAGGTGTATTTTGGTTAAGTCATTTCTCTTTGAATCTTTGCTCCTCATCTGCGAAGTGGGCATAATACCTGCCTCTGAAAGACACTGTAGGCACAGTAAGTTCTGGTTAACATGTACTGAGCATCTACCATCTGCTGGGAATCCATGCTTTCCAATAGGTGCTATTGCTGATCCCATTTTACAGATGAGGAAACTGAGGCACAGAGAGGTTAAGTGACTTGTTAGTAAACTGAAGACCTGGTGTTTGAACCCAGGCAAGTCTGACTCTAGAGTCTGTGCTTTTAAACACTGTACCCTTGTGCTTCTTAAATACTTGCCAAGTGCCTGCTTCTCCAAGGCTGTGAACAAAACAAAGTCCGGGTCCTTATGGCACTTGTATCCTGTGACCGGTGGCTGTTGGGATGATAGTTTCGGGTGGTTCATACACATGGGGGGGACAGAGTTCAGGAAGTTGAATTCCGGACCCAAGGATCAGCACCCCATCGTGGAGGCGTTGGGGGCTATGAGACACGTGGTAGTAGGGCTGAGGGTCACGTGTGTTGGGAGGAGCCCTCTGCTGGCCTTCCTCTGCTAGTACTTCCTCTCCAGCACTCCCCTGCCCCTGCCACAGGCATCTCCCTTGGCGTTGGCGCTGATACCCCCCATATGTCTTCAGTCCCTCCACCCCCCAGCGTCAGACAGAACCTCTGCTGTCTTTTACACGCCACTACCTAACACCTTTATACTCATGGTTCCTAATCCTGGGTCCCTTTGGTGCAAGTTGAAGGCTCAGGAAGGGTTGAAGTACGGTGGGCACTTGGCCTGATATTTCTGACCCTACTCTTGTCACCCCACGTCTGCGTTCCCAGACCCGAAGGCCTCCATTCTCGCCAGTGGTCCGGCAGCCAGGACTCCCAGATGGGCTTCCCCCGGGCGGACCCGGCCTCCGACCGTGCCTCCCTCTTTGCAGCCCGCACCCGCCGCAGCAACAGCTCTGAAGCCCTGCTTGTGGACCGGGCGGCTGGCGGGGGAGCTGGCTCTCCGCCGGCGCCTCTGGCTCCCCCTGCCACTGGCCCCCCGGTCTGCAAGAGCAGTGAGGTGCTGTATGAGCGCCCCCAACCAACCCCTGCCTTCTCCTCCCGCACATCTGGCCCCCCAGACCCTCCCCGGGCTGCCCGGCCTAGCTCAGCTGCCCCTGCCTCCCGAGGGGCCCCCCGGCTCCCACCTGTGTGTGGGGACTTCCTCTTGGACTATTCCCTGGACCGGGGCCTGCCCCGCAGTGGTGGTGGGGCAGGCTGGGGGGAGCTGCTGCCTGCGGCTGAGGTCCCGGGACCCCTCTCCCGCCGGGATGGGCTCCTCACCATGCTTCCAGGTCCACCACCTGTATATGTAGCTGACGGCAGCAGCCCCCTCCTCCGCAGCAAGGATCCCCACACCCGTGCTACCCGCACCAAGCCCTGTGGCCTGCCCCTGGAGGCCACCGAGGGTCCAGAGGTGCATCCCAACCCTCTGCTGTGGATGCCCCCGCCCACCCGTATCCCCCCGGCTGGTGAGCGCAGTGGTCATAAGAACCTTGCCCTGGAGGGGCTGCGGGACTGGTACATCCGCAACTCGGGACTGGCCGCCGGGCCCCAGCGCCGGCCTGTTCCCCCCCACATGGGCCCGCAACACCCACCCTTCCTCCATGCCCGCTGCTATGAGGTGGGCCAGGCGCTGTATGGGGCCCCCAGCCAGGCGCCGCTCCCGCACTCGAGGAGTTTCACGGCACCCCCTGTCTCCGGCAGGTATGGGGGGTGCTTTTACTGATGGGTAGGGGTCTCTGGAGGCAGATGGCAAAGGTGTCCAGGCTGGGGAGCAGCCAGTCATGGTAGCTAATGACTCAGACCACGAGAGAACTAGCTGCGGCCTCAGCACAGGGTCATCAGGCCCTGCCTAACCTGCATGAGTCCGCGGGGGCTTGGTGGAGAGGGGTGTCTTGGGCCCTGGCAGCAGCAATTTTCCACCAAGCCATAGAAGAATTGTAATATTGGAACAAAACAGTGCATGTCAGCTGAAAATGAGCCTTGAAAGCAGGGTGCTGGGAGGAAGGGCCTCCCGGGCCCCTCGTTTTTCTCTTCTTCCTTTTTGCCGTGCTCCCCATGCTTGCAAGCCCAGACGTACTCTCCTGTGTCTGCCTCCGCCTCTTTAACGAGCTTCTTTTCCTCTCTTTCTGTGTCTTGTTTGTCTTTTCCTCTCTCCTCTATCTTGCCACCCTGTCTGGATTCCTGCTACCCCTTCTAAAGATACTACGCGGACTTCCTGTACGCTCCGGAGCTGAGCGCTCGTTTAAGTGACCTGACGCTAGAGGGGGAGCAGTCCTCCAGTTCTGACCCCCAGACCCCGGGGACACTGGTCTGACCCCTTCTGATATGCTCCTTGTTGGCCTGGGCATGGCTGTAGTCTGGGGAGCACACAGCTGACCTCGCTGAACCCTGGGGTGTGGTTGCTCTCAGTCCTGGGGGGTGCCGAACCTGATCTTCCAAGGCCCATGGCACCTTGTGGACCCACGAAGGTGTCTGACACCCTGTTTCCCCTCTCACACTGTGCTGGGAACTGGGGCCCTCAGCCAGCGTAAAAGAGGGAGGATGGTGTAATGGGGACTCCGAGCCCCTTCTTCCATTTCTGTTTACAGTTGTGATTTAGATATTCGCTGTCTTCCCCCAACGCTAGACGTTTTATAAAAGGGAAACTGTGATCTCGTCCTGGTTGGGCTCATTCCTGTCCCCATGCCCAGCCTGTTCCATTCAGGAACCCCCTCCACAAAACGGATCATATAGGGTCTCAGGGCCCTGTTTGGGGCAGCCAGGAGACTCTGGTGTGAACAGAACCCCCTGCCACCCCCCACCAGGGCAGTTATTGGGGAGGTGGGCTCTCTGCCTGCAATTGGAAAGACTGAAGTCTGGGTAGGGGGCTTGGGTTCATTTTCCTGCCCCCAGGGGTGCCGGAAGGAGCCCCAGTCCCTGTCTGCCTGTCTGTGCCCGCTGCCTCTGCCCACAGGACTAGATGGCCCAGCGTTTTGTGGCAGCCTCTGCCCTATCTATCCCCAGTCAGGAAGCCCTGCAGGAGGGGCCAGAGGGCAGAGCCATCGGGTGTGTTGTGTCCTGGGATGCTGCGGTGGTGGAATCTGGCATCTGGTGGATGCCAGTAAAATCCTCAGGTGACGTCTGGCCACAGGCTACGTCACGTCTTCCTTGGCTTTCGTTCCATCCACCACTTTTTAAATCTATACAAGCTGTGTTTTCTATGATACCTATCTGTGACTTTCTGGAGCTGGGGGTCCCCCTACCTCCTTTACCTGGTGTTAAACTTTTCTTTTTCTACCAATGGACCTGGGCCCAAGACACTACCCACACTGGAAGGGGATTTCTATAATAAATGTGTAAACTGAACCCATGTGTTACTCCTCTGTCTGCCTTGCCTTGGGGGCCCACACCTGTAGTTAAGACCAGATAATATATTTTTATGACTCCATGTGATAAGAAATAGAACACTGGAAACAGCCCATGATAATACCATCTACTTTGGCTTTTCTTGCTGTGATGTGGGGTCACATGTCTTCCTGTCTGCACTCAGATTGCTGGCCTGCCCTGAACAAGAGTCCTCAGTAATACAAATGATAGGAAACACCCTGCCCTTAACTACCTTGTGTGTTAATGCCACGCCAGAGATAACAGGTTCGAGGGAGGAACTGAGAGCTCACCCCTTCAGTCCATGTATTTGACACAAAAAGACCTAGTCAGAAAGAGTCTAGCAGGATCAAAAAGCAGAAGGCCACTTCTGGCCATTGAAATGCAGACTTTACCCAGGAGGCCCAAATCGGCTTGAGAGATGCAACAGTCTTTATTGTTGCTGTAACACTGATACAGATGCCCCATTCCAGGTCAGGGCTACCCCCACCCCACCCCTTGGTCCTCATCACTGTGGGATGTTGGAGAGAGGAGCAGAATCACTAAGCAGAGCTGGAGAGAGGCAAGTGGGACTGGAGAGGGTTCGGGTCACCTGGAACCAAGGGTTCGACAGGGTCAGGATGCCTGAATCCTCTGTCCTGATGGGGGCTGGGAACACTTGGGTCCTGGGTTCAAGATTTGGCAATGCCCTGATCTGGGTTCAAAGCTGGGGTGGGGGTCTAGAAAAGCCTTAGTCCAGGGTTCAAGAGAATGCCTTGGGCCCAGATCCCACCTTTGGTGCTGAGGGTGGGAGATGGGTGGGTCCCAGACTGGAGGTGGGGGAGTATCACTGGGTCCAGGGTTTGAGGATGGCCATGGATGCTCAGGTATCCAAGCCCTCAAGTTCAGGGCTGAAGAAGAGTCTGGTCCCCTAGGTAATGGGAGCTGATCAGGGGGAGGGTCACAGATGTCCTGCTTTCTGAACTGGACGGGGCCCTCTATTTCAAGGGCTTGGAAAGGGCTCTGGGTCCCAGTACAGGGCCAGGGTGGGGGTGGCATTCTCCAGGTCTTGGGTACAAATCCTAGACCCCTACGATCCAGCCTCCTGCTCTTGTCCCAGCGCCTCCAGTAGCAGCCCCATTGGCGTCCGCTTGAGACCAATACTCTCAATCTTGTTCTCAATCTTGTTCTTGAGGTTCCGCAGGCGCAGTGAGGCGTGCACCAGAATCACTGTGGGCAGTGCCGAGAGGAGTAGGGTCAGTGGGGTGAGACATCAGCTTTAGCCAGTGGGGGGACCACGGAGGGGAATTGGAGCACAGGCAGGCCAACAGAGTCTTAAGTGGCCAGGATGCCTCTGATCTTAAAGTGTGGCTGAGTACACAGAGTTTTGCAGCTGGGGCGTGGCCAGGGAGGGCGCACAGCAACTGGGACGTGGCTGGTGGAAGACACTTAATACCAACAGGGAAGCCAGAAAAGGCGGTAGTTAAAGAGGGGCGTTCCCAGAAGAAGGAAGGCAAAGCCAGGGAAGGCGCTTTGTGAAGGGGGTGTGGCCAAGTGCCCGCCTGGTTTCTCGGCCTCTTCTCGGGGCAGGGCAGGGCTGCCACTGTGCGCAAGCGCTGGCCGTTTTCTCGGCGGTCTCAGGGTAGTGAATACTCACGAAGCACAGGTCCGGCGACGCCTAGCAGGAAGGTGCAAGCGCTGCCCGCGGCCCAGAGAACAAGGAGGCCGAAGGCAAGCACTGCGGCCAGGCAGGCGGCCGGGTGGCTGCGGCGGCAGCGGCGCACGGCTGCTTGAGTCTCTGCCGCCCACACCAGCACGCCAAGGGCCACCGTCACTACCAGCGCGCTTAGGAGGGTATGCAGCGGGCGCACGTACCTGTGAGGACAATGGAACTAAGCTAGTCCAGCAGACAAGGGAGAGAGCTGCCCAGCCTCCAAGCCTCCTGGACCACCGTCCATTCAATCCCGGACCCCAGGAGCTTTGGTTCTCCTCTCTCCGGATCCTCCAGCCCAACAAATAACTTCCCCCAGCCCTGTCTCCCAATAGGTCCACCCTCCAGGATTTCTGACTCCCAGGAGCCCTGTGGACCCTCGTTTCTTTGGTGTCGATCCTACAGTCCCATCTTCCTTAGCTCTTCCGCTTCAGGCCTTCCCATCCCGCTAGGCCTCCAGGCTCCCAGCTCTTTCGTTCAACCCTACCCCCGCAGGGCCCGTCTCCAACCCCTCAGGCCCCACCCCAACTCGCCCCTAAATCCACCCTTGGAGCTAGGCCTGTAGATTCCTCTTCCAGGCCTTATGTCTCTATACATTTCCCTCTCCCCGGGCCCAGAGTCCTTACAAGAAAGACACCCCTCCAGACTTCCTCCCCTCAGATTCCCCATCCACTCCCCACTTCTTACAGATCCCTCTCTCCATCATTGCAAGAACCCCTTCAGGCTTTCAGTACCACTCTTAACTTCCAACCCTGCCCAAGTTCCCAGGGGTTCTCCATCCTTCTCTGCTCTCAAACCTTCCACCCCTGGGTCTTCCCTCTTGGTTCAAGTTCCCCAAGAGGTACCTGCTCCTGGAGCGTTCCAATCATAGCCAGGATCTCCTCCAAACTAGAGCCCCCACAAGCCCACCCTCCCAACCCTTCAACTTGACCACATCCCTGTCCCTGTATCTGCCCAAAGTCCTCCAGGGCTGCCTTAATCTGGGGGCATCACTCACATCCGTCTCCCCTACCCCTACTTTCAGACCCTTTTTATCTTTAGGTCCACCTCGATACCCAGTTTCCCTCCAGTCCCACATTTCTCCATCCTCTCAACCCTCTATCCCCCTCAGGCCCTATCTCACCCAAGGCACTCCTTTTAACCATGTTGACTTCCTTCAAGTCCCCCCTCACCTGTCCCGTAGGCTTTCCGTTTCTAATGAACTCCCCCTTCCTGCCTTGCATCTCCCTCCCGTTCCTCAAAATACCGCGGGTCCACCCTTCTTGCCCTGCAGGCGTCCCTAGCCAACCGGCATCTCCCTCCCTCCCTCACCCGGCCAGAGCGAGTGCGAAGCCGAAGCACAGAAGGTAGTTGGTTTGGTAGTAGAGGAGGTTGTTGATGACGCGGTGGCACCATCGCTGCCGGTCGTAAGGATCCGGAGCCGCCAGACGCGCGGACCCCAGAACGAAGTCGTCCAGGGCGCGTAGCGGTGGCAGCCGCACCTCCGACATCCTGCCGGTCGAAGTAGCTGGACCAGCCCGAAGAGCGGCCGGACTACAACCCCCGTAACACCCCGCTGCACCGCGAGGGACACCGGGAAATGGAGTCTGGACCGAGCGGCTGCTACGCTCACCCCCTAAGTAGATTGGGCAGCGGCAGCAATGCATGTGACCGGAAATGCCAACAACACGTCGGGGCTGTGAGGCAGCAAGGGCTGCCGGGAAATTAAGTCTCTGCCGCCCGCAAGGCGTTCCCACTCACCCCCGGGTGGGGGCGCCCAAGCGGGTAGTTCTGGACCGTGCTGGTGGCTCAAGTCCACGGTAATCGGACATTCGAGGACACGCAAAGAAAAACAGGGACTGTCAGAAGGACTTGGGTAGGATGCCACTTCTTTCCGGTCAGGGTCCAAGAAGGTCACACCTACTTGGAAACCCCTGCAGGGCCTTTTCCGCTACATCTCCTCCAGGCCCCACCCATGCCCCCCAGGTCCAGCCATAAATACTATTAAGGGCCTTTTATTCATATTCACCACATCAAAGATATCTCTTTCTGGGAAGGTTTTTTAATCCCCACAGGTTGAATTAGGGCACTCCCTCTGGGTCCCTAGCAGTCGTCTCCAGGCTGGGAGCCCCAGGGGGTCTGCTCCCTCCCTGCTTCCCTAGCCTGGCCCTGCTGGCACACAGTCACCAAGAAGTGCTTGGGCGAAGTGAGCTGTCTTGCACTGCCGAGTGGAAGGTGGGCACCTGCCCCACTAATGCTCGCTGGCTGGTAGCTTTCACAGTACTCCTGACCCCCTGAGGGCTTTGCAATCTGCCACTGCAGGTCCCTCGCACAACCCACAGGGTCCTTAAAAGTCATCGTCGTCACAGATGTCAAGGTACACATCGAAAGCCTCTCTGTTGCAGTTTCCATCAGGAGTGAAGACATATTTGTGGAAGGTCCCATCTACGCAGATAGCTAGAAGAGGGGGGAGGATGGGCAAAAGGTTAGAAGCTGCAGAAGCCACACACTGCAATCCTTTCAGGTGTCCTATGGCCTCGGGTCTACCTCCAGACCTTTGTCCACATGCCATCCCTCTGATGATGGAGTCGAGCCACCCACTCTAGCTTCCCATGCCTTAAAATTCCTTCAGGTCCAAATTGCAGGACTTCGCATGCAGTGCCCCCAGTCAAGGGCTATTCCCACTCACCAATGACAGAGTTGACGTTCTTGGAAGTATTGCGACCGAAGGCGCAGATGCAGGCTGACTCGGCAGGCACGGTGAAGCTCGCCAGGCTCCACTGAGAGTCCACGTACTGCCCAATCATAGGCCCCACCTTGCCCACACGAGCCAGCCTGCAGGCAGCACTGGCTAAGCCCAGGTGTGGTACATGGGCAGGGGGACTGGGGACATGGCAGGGCAGGGCAGGGAGTACTCACGCGGAGCGACGGTTGAGGCGGGTATCTTTGAGAGCAAAGATATGGACCGTGCCCTTATCACTGGAAGCGCAGAGGAAGGAGGAGTCGTGGCTGAAGTTGATGCTGGAAGACAGACCAGCAGTGACGCCCATGTGTCATGTGACATGGGGTCACCAGCCCGCCACACATATCCTGTGCTCACCAGTAGAGAGTGGCAGGGTCAGTGCCTCGGCGCAATTCCACCAGTTTCTCCTTGGATTGCGTGTCAAAGAGGCGAATAAGGGTGCCTTTCTGAGAGGCCGAGGCCACTACAGTGCCTGGCTGGTTCAGAGACACGCAGGCCACGTCACTCTGATGTGCATTGATCGTAAATGGAGCAGATGAAGTACCAGGCTTTGTGCTTGCCAGGTCCTGT